CCGGGAGACCCCACAGATAGTGTGCAACGCCTTGGGGCAGACCCCAGAGATGGGACAGCTGAGACCCCAGCAGTGCCAAGTCCAGCTCCCTTGGGCCAAGAGGCCTCCCTGGCCAGCCCCACGGCCACCCCAGCCCATGTGCCACAGCAGTGCAGTGGGGATAGTGTCACCTGGCGGCAAGTTTGGCTTTTGCAGCTTTCCCCACATCGTCCCAAAGCTGGAAGCACTGGGAAAGTGTCAGAGCATGGAAATGGGACCAGCAAAGCATTGCCCAAGCAGCTCAGGTAAGGCAGGGAGAGAAAGGGGACACTTGGAAGCATTTTCTACAGCACATCCATTTTCTATATCCACCCAGCCCCTGGAAAGGGTTTGTAAATGATGTACAGATCACTGACATGCTCAGTGGAGGAAATTCTGTTGCCACTGAAGTCAAAACACAAAATCCTCCCTGAACCACTGAGCCCAGACTCCTTCCCATCTGCCTTGACCCTCTGTTGGGAAAAAAGCTCTGGAGACCCACCACTGGGTGCACAGGCTGGGCCAAATTTGTCACAGGAGAGCAGGTGGAGAGGAGCGATGTCTGGGATGGATGTAGCCCTGCTGGTGTCAGACATCTGTGGAAAGACCTGAGGACTGAATTTCACTAAATGAGCAGAAACTTTTCCACTGCCACGAACAGTGCCACTGCCACAGCTTCCCCGGCAGTGAAGGTCAGAGGCTGTTTCTGGGTCATTGCTTGAACCAGAGCCCACCTCAATTTCTGGGAAGGAAGGAGAAAGGAGAGGGAAGCCACCCTTGTGTCATGGTTTGGGTCTGGGCTTTGGGGGGAGCTGCTGCACTGCGGGGAAGAGATGACACCAGGGGACCATCTCAGGTACCAGCTTCTTTCAGCCTCCTCCAACCAGATGAACCCCCCCAAAATCAGCAGGGCTTGGCACAGGGCAGCACTGGAGACGTCAGGGCCAGGCTAGCAGCACACGGATCAAGAGCAGTCAGCTGCAAGCATCACTTGGGGGGGGCTGTTAACGAGCACAAGTGGGTTTGTTTTCCGGGAGGGAGGTTCACCTCACTGAAAACCAGGAAGCATGGCAGGAGCGAGCATGGGCACATTGTCTCTCCTGAACAGACTGGGATTGCTGGCAGCCAGGCTGGAGCAGCATGACTACACCTGGTTGCGCTTCCACTTTCCAACAAGCCCAGTATATGCCAGCATTCAGAGATGGCTTTTTTACCCAGAGGGAGCTGCTGAACACAGTGCTCTTTGTATCTGTCAAGTGCAGGGGGGAGGGAGGCACCAAGATGCTGCCAGGGCTGGGAAAGGTGTGTGTTCGCTCAGGAAGAACCGGTCCTGTACGTACTTGCACACACACGGAGGTACAAACAAAATGTTCATCTGCTGATGAAAGACCAGCCTGCCTGGAAGAGACACAGGCTGGAAAGGAAATGCATTTTTAGAGAAAGACAGGAGCAAATATTACAGCACGCTGAATTATTCTTTGTAAATAATATTAGTTACAGATCAGGCTCCCTTTTTCTGTTAGTGAATCACAGGTGAGCCAAGTCTCCTCTCTGTTGGGCAATATTTTCCATCTGTCAGCTGCTCACAGACACGTCGGGTATCGCTGGGGAGAAACTCAACCCCACGCCATCACACAGATCTTCCCCCAGTGACGGTGACACGACGTTGGTGGGCTGAGTGTCATGTGGGGACAGGGCTCATAGTGCCTCTCCTCCAGGATCAGTCCTTCGGCATCACACAGGCTCATCCAGCCCCTCAGTTTGTGGTACAAGGCAGAGAAGCAGCACAGGCAGACACCCAGCCTTGAGCGACCTCTGCAGCTTTCTGCACTGCTGTGAAACCTCACTGTAACCTTGGAAAGTCACTGCAGGCTGAGACTTTTAAAGGTATTAAGCACCTTACACACACATAGAGATTTGGGACTGTTAGTCAACTTAGGCTGCTAATGCCTGCTAATTTCATTCAGTGCAGTGATCTGAAGGTTAACGGGATTTGACTGATGCTTTCAAAATGTCCAGTGGTGTCCTGTCTGCACTTCTAATTGCTCATTCTCTTTGGAAATCCACTCCTGTGTCTCCCTGAGCTTCGGTGAAAGGACGTGCATTGTAAAAGTCCTGTCCTGTCTTCCCCTGCATAACAGAGCCTGTATAATGTGAGGCACTCAGCCATGACAGTGATGGATGCATGACAGGTACCATCAACAGAAACTGGCTAAGAGCGCCCAAGCAGCTGGTAACGAGCTACGTGCACCTTGTAAAGAGCAAGGCATATGAGCAGTCATGTGTTGGGCTATATATTCTTAAACAGATCATTCTGGGCTCAAGTAGAGAAGACTGGGAAAAATCACTGATTTGCTTGGACCCAGTCAAGTGTGTCAGAGCAAACTCTTTAGGAGATGCAGAGCTCTCATATCTAATAGATGTGAGCTGGCGTGAGGACAGGACACATCACTCCTGTTTCACTCCTGGGCCCTGGGGATGTGCACAGCAGCTTCATGTGTGCTGGGACTTTACCGCTGCATTGCAGGTCGGACATGGCTTGTGGTCTTGTCACCAGCCCTGTGCTCCTCTCCTGCTGATTGCCAGCACTGCCAATTATTAGACTATGTGAACCCTTTCCAAACCTTGAGAGGTAGGTCCTACAGGAGCAGGATTCATTTGCTTAAATCCATACACATAGTGCAGGCAGCCAGACTCCCTCTGTAACTGGAGGAGAGAAAATAGCCTTTGGTGTGGGGAGACAAACCCTGCCATAGCAGCACCTGCCACATCCCCTGGGCTGCAAAGGGAATCCAGCAACAAGGTCTGATATTGTTGTCCCAAATAGGGCTCGTTTACCCGGTGTGCAATAAGCCAATCTTCACACAGGAGATATTGTTTATTGCATTTTTGCATAAAGATGGGTGCTAGGTGGTAAGCCCGCAAAGCTACCACACTTAACAAAGTTTTCTCTAACTTTTATACATTACAATTAACACACCACACCTATCTACTACATAATCACTAAATTAGCTATGCATCCTTGTCTCTTACCAGTTCATATCTTTTTTGCTTAAATTTAAAGGTACAGTATGATTTTAACCTACTATGCATGCTCAAGGTGGGGCGTGGGGTGGGTAGTCTTTCTAGTTTTCAAAAGAGTCGGTGGTCACAATCTCCCCCTGATGAAATTACCTTTCCCCTACTTTTCTTCTTGGCAGATCCTTAGTAACTCTTCATGGTTTACTAGTCAAGACAATAATACATCACCTTGTGCCCTGTTCCTGGACAATTTGTTATTAGTGATCTATTAACCAAACAAAAGCATAGACAGAGTAGGGCTTTGCAATGGACATTCTATAGCAGCATCAGTTTTGGATAACAATATGTATCTTGTCAGAGCTACACAAGACAAAATCCACCCAAGACAACCTCATTCCACATTTTTCTTCTGGTTTCATCCCCTATCTTGTAATTCCCTGACAAGTATTCCCTAAGAGTATTCCTTATAAGTCATATAAGCCTGGAGTCCTGGAAGGCAAAAGGGAAGACCAATTTGGAGAGACTCTCTGGGTTGATTTACTGTGTAAATACCTACAGGGCGAAGCCGAGATGGTGCTGTATAGTAATTCCCAAGCAGGGACACTGGTAAAGGAGAAGACTGTGTGAGAGAGGGGGGCCAAGAGAGATCATAATGTAATTACCATGCCTGGGCCTAGAGGATGAGAATTACAAGGTAATTGGGCAGCAACTCATTGCTGTGTAAATGCACAGTTATTTCTGTTCCGTAAACCACAATCCAGGTTACATGGTAATTACTTTGAGGTCCATTAAGTGTAATTATACAGTAATCTCCAGGAGCCAGTAATTACCCTCATGTTCCAAAGTATCTACCACTTAAAACTCAGTGAGTTTCATGCAGGTAGGCAGCAGTCGCATGGTTTTCAGGCTTCAGTGTCTTGGTCTGTGGGATGTCCAGGACGGGGTAAAATGTTACTATTTCAGCTGGAACTGCCTTTCAAAGGAGAGCGTTGGGCACGCTAGAGGAAGAGTGCTACACCTCTAAAGCCCAGCCAGTCTGCATGGGCCCACTCCAGCAGGATCAGTGCCTTCAGAGGGCTGTTCCTCCCGGGCTGCCAGCAGTGCCCCATAGCTCAAATAAATCCTTTTCTGGAGGGGCCAGCCTATCCTTGGAGAACAAATAAAGCCCATGAGGTTTCATTCAGGTTCAGATGTCTCTTCTGGTTGCCAAGTCAGGGCAGGTAAACTCTACGCTTGTTATTATGACCAACATATTATATTTTACTTAATTTGTTATACTGCCAATTAAACATAACACTCAGCAATGTCAATACCTCTTGCACATCACTTCCACCTTTGGCTCACAGTTTCCAATGTGGGGTTCACCCCAACCATCAGAAGAAGACCTAGGCCTTCCCATAGCCCACTCTTCCCACTGGTCCCTGTCACAGCATGTCCCATGGCAGGGTCTCTGTCATGCCCAGGACAAGCACCAAGGGAATAGTCCCCTGATCCCCTCTGCACCGCAGAGCGAGGAGGCCCAGAGAAAGCCCTTTCATGGGGGCCACACAACTGAAGCTGCTCTTGTGTTTCTTGTCCTTCTTAACATCCCATTTTGACCTGGAAAGGCAGGAAAAATTACTCTCAGCCAAAGCCCCTGGGGGTGAGTCCCTGGGAGAGGGGGACGGGGCACTCCGGAGATGCAAAGCAGCGCCAGGAATGGAGGGACTTGTGGGAGAGAAGTCCAGATGGCAGCAGCCATGGCTTGGACTGGGTCTCGCCTGACAGTGCTCCTAGCAGGGAATATTTCTGCTGCAGGAATGTGTGAGATTTTGTTTCCAGACAGTGGCTGGATCAGCATGGTAGGAAAAACCTGTCTCCCATGCTTAACAACCAAGTTTCCATTCCTTCAAAGCACAGATACACTCAGTTGAGTTCCTACAGCCACGTTAATGAATGTTTTTCCCTTCTCTGTCTTTCAGGGATCTAAACTACAATGAGCTGCTGGAATTCCCTGGGGCTATCAGGACGCTGGGCCGACTGCAGGAGCTGTGAGATTTTCTATTTATTCCTTTTCAAAAACATTCGCTGTTGGAGAGTGACCAATAAAGTGTCACATGTGCTCTGACTTGGGAAGACCACTCAGTCCAAGCCTTTCTTTTTCCTTTCCCAGCCCTCTCTACCATGCACATAAAAGCAGTTTATCCCCTTGATTTCCATCAGCTCCAATCACCTCACCACTGGCCTCTGCACCATGGCTGGTGGAGGGGAGTGGGAGATCCACCGTCAGGCTTGGAGCAGGTTCTTCCTGCAGCTCTTCATTCTCATGGCATCTGATGAACTCAAAGTCCATCTGATCTCCAGCTACTTCTAATGTCCATTCCCCAGCCTGGGACCACAACCATGGAGTATCTGTGTTATTGTGAGGTCATGGCTTTTGCAGGCCCTGTGCCACCTCCTCTGATGTGCAGAAACTGTTTGATTTCCCTTAGGAGAAATTTATAGTAGGGAATCACAAAAGTTTATGACCATTTGAGTGGCTAGCACTCTCTCCTCTAACCAATCATCCTGGGAGACACTAAAAATGGGAAACCATCCCACTTAACACCCATGAAGTTAGAAGCCCCAAGATGGGGTCAAGTCAAGTTGATGAGGATCCACAGATCCACTAAGACTGTGTCACACTGGTGACAGGCTAGGGTGGGACAAAAGCAGCTGCTTTAGTGCTTCTCAGAAGCTTGGAGCAAAAATCTGACACTGCTTTTTTCTTTTAGTGGAAGAATTTCTTGACAAGGAGATTTCTCAGGTCAGATCAGATATCATCATTACTCTGACATTCAAAATGAGAATAAGGTCCTTAATCCACTTTTAGATGGCTTTTGAAACACCCGTCCCTAAATAAGAGGAAAATTTCAAACAGCCATCCAACTAATCACTCACGCAGACTCCTCTGGGATTAAACAACCTGGGCATCACCCAGAGCCTGGTCTTGGTCCTAGACACAGGATCCTATGGCTGCCTTTGATGTACAGGAGATCAGACTGTGACCACACAGCTCTCTTCTGCTGCAAAAGCTTGCTGATAGCAATTTTCTCAAGCTTAACCAAAAATATCACAGCTAGATCTACAAATACTTTAAAGTCACATGGGCCAATAATTCATAGTAGGCTGCACTCTGGTTAACAGCTGTGGAGCTATAATGGAGACTATCCATAAAAACTGCAGTTCCTGGAGGGTATAAAATAACTGTGTTTGCCTCTGTTTTCTGATCTGTAAAGTGTTAAACCTTAAGTCCTTGTATTCTTGGTGGGTTCAGTGGAGTGACATACGGAGCACCAAGCTATACACAGAGTAAATGCAACAGAATGAGGACTTTGTCCTGCCAAAGGACAGACCTTGTTCATTTGCTGGGATGATGCAACAGCTGGAACAGAGCCTACACCTCCTATTTTATGCGTTTTGAAGGCTCTCTGCCTTTAAAAGTGTTGAGGAAAGAAGGTGTCTCCAAGCCTTTCTCATCCATTAATATCAAGATATTTGTTTCTCCCAACAGTGGTTTTCATAACAACAACATCAAAGCTATTCCAGAGAACGCATTTGTTGGGAATCCCCTCCTCCAAACAATGTAAGAAAATTAAACAGTATTTCCTAAATCCTTATATCCCCCCAGAAAGGGGCATTTTCTGATGTCTTTGGTTGAGATTTCTGACAGTTGTCAGCATGACCGCAATTTTACATTTGTTGTGTATGGGTCAATGCAAGCTGAAATTAGCTCCTTCTCATCTGCACCTCAGGTTTTTTGCCATGGGTTCTCCTTTCCCCACAGCTGAACTTTGCTGCAGTACAGGCTGATAACAACGAACAACAATATATGGGTGGTCTGCATGGAAATCTTGCTGTGCATAACAGGATTTTCTAAGCCCTGGTTGACATCTGCCTGTGTTTATTCCCTGTGTTTAGAAAAGCTGCTAGCCAGCTACAGCAGTAGCTATATGTGTTGGGGAGATGGGACACCAGATCATTGTGTGTCTACCCCAGACCCATGGACATGAAGTTCTGCAGATAAATACAGCCAGCTGTCAGCTCATTTCCGCTCTAACTCAGACACAGGTAGAGGTTGTGGACAGTTCTTCCCTGAACCACAGTGACATTGGAAATCATGGCAAGTGACAAAAGCTCTGCTTGGCCATTCTGGGACTTAAGTTATAGAAATACCAACATCTGGAAAGCCATGGTGACATTGGGTGAAAACAGTCACTGCTCCAGCCAAAACAAACATCCCCATCTTCCTTGGGCACCACCCTTGGAGTAACGTGGGGGTGGGACACATGGGAATCCTCATGTCTCCATTGGAGCTGCCCATCTAAACTGTTTCACAGTCAATGGGGGGAAAGTGCTTCTTGTAGGAGGTGATTCAACTCCTCCTAAAGCTAGTTGGATCCCAGAAGAGTTCACTTCTCTCCACTGACTGTGATAAGTAGGAAGGATGCTGGTGTTGTGGGTATGTAAGATATATAAAAGGAGGTGTCATCAAGTGCAAGGTGTTTCCCAGCAGGGTTACAGCACTATAGCTGGGTTGAAGGAGGGCTTTGCATCTTTCTAGCCTGCCTTGTTCAGCAGGACCCTAAAGGGCCCTTTCAGAGCAGCAGGAGACCTCAGCTGTACCAATGTTCATCCAAAACAGGCTAGCGGGAGAGCCTGGGGTTATCTGGAAAACAAGGGTTCCTCACAGGATAGCTGGCACCTCTTACATAGCTTACTATTAGTTGCTCCAAGGCTCTTGACCTGTAATAACGTCTTCTCTTTATGCACAGTAGAATCTGACCAGTTACTCATTTCCTTTGCAGCCATTTTTATGACAATCCCATCCAGTTTGTTGGACAGTCTGCTTTCCAGTACTTGCCAAAGCTCCACACTCTGTAAGTTCACCAAGCACATCCTCAGAGAGGTAACACATCCAAGCTCCAAGCCCTGTGAGCTGGACACCTTAGTGGCCTTCCCCTTTCCTCTTCTCTAGAGCCCTTGTGCCAATAGAACACCATGAGGCCACTCTTCTGGCCAGCTCCAAAGTCAGTGAGCCAAGGAGTAGACACTGCAGATGTTTTCTGCTGAAGAAAAATAATTTTGAGAAAGGCATTTTTGAGGAAACAATTCATGTCTCCTGCCCATCTAGCTGACAGGCACTGGAGTCTTCTAGGGTTTCCACAGCTGCATCAGCACCAGCAAAGACCACGCTCACAAGTGCTACTATGTTTGTTGCATGCTGCTCAAGCAAGCCCTGCACTATTGCATAGTTGCCCAAACACAAGGCCACTGAAGGCATCTGCCTTCCTCCACAAGATGGAGAAGCTGAGGAACATGTGTTCCATAACACCAACACCACGACAAAAATAATCTTACTGGGCAGCCCGTGGTGACAGTGCTTCCTTCATATGTAGGGCCCTAGACCTGCTCCAGGGCCACCACCACGTGGTGGACACCATCTGGACCGGAATGGCTACTCCACATTGGTAGGCCTGGACTGGCTGGCTTCTCAGCTAACCTGTTGTGGCACAGTACTAAATACTGAGGCAGAGGCAACCTCAAAATCTCTATTTATAAGCCTCACCCAGCCTCTTGCTGCAGGAACACACACTCAGGCAAATAAAATAACCCCTTCAAATACCCGTACATTCTTTAGCTCCAAATGCATAGACCCTGGGAGACTTGGGTGGGATGCCCTGCTTTACATTCCCCATGGCAATTGTTTGGGGTTTTTTATTTAATTTGGGTGGAAATCATGCCAAGAATGTCAGTGGTTGGGGGAGGGTCTGAGCTTGCCAAGCCTCCTTGCACAGAAATGCCCAACTCTGGCTCATTGTATCTGTGCTGCATGCAATGTCTGCTCTACCACCCAGCTGGCAGTGGCACACTGATGAGAGGGGCACCTTTGGATCTGGGTCTCTGATCACCACATTTGGGTGTGAGAAAGCAGATTTGCCACTATGGCAGATGGGTCTGGGACCTTGGGCAACTGCACTTGCTTCCGGGTCCTCTGTCCACCTCACTTCACCCTCATTTCTCTGCAGGTCACTCAATGGTGCAACAGACATCAGAGAATTCCCAGACCTTAAAGGCACCACCAGCCTAGAAGTTTTGTGAGTGGCAACTCTCTCCCTTTTACCCTGCTATTTGTGCTCTTCCTCCTTCAAGGCAGTCCAGGCTGTTTCAGCGAGGACAGCTTTCACAGTGCTGTGCAGTTGGTTGTCTTCAGCTCTGCCTCTCCCTGATCACTCACCTCTCTACTTCGTTTCACCCCTGTGGCTCCTGAAAGCAGCTTTCCTCTCCGTGAGTTGCCCTCTTGGTACTGTTGAGTGTGGTCTAATCTTATTTTGATTTTTTTCTTCCTTCTCTTCTGCACCAGTGAAGGAGCAGGCCTTTGAGTGCAGTGCTTCAGCGTAGTCTGCTGCAACCAAGTGTCTCTGCCCATCCTGGGACCAGCACTGGTAGTGCAGTGCAGTGCAGGAAACATCTGCCCCCCAGGCTGGGGGCTCCTGGAACTGGTCTGGTCCCATCCTCACACCACCAGGCCCAAGAGAGCAGGAGCTTGGAAGACATGCTGTCTCTGACCACCCACAGTTCTCCTCTGTAAGGCACTGGTCCACATGCTGTGCCCAAACTGCAAGCACAGCTGAGCACCCCAGCCCAGGAGTGTGACCTGCCTGCGCCTTGCCTCAGGGACATTGGGACACACCATCTGTCCCCCATACATGGCCTTCTGAGGCATTCGTGGCTCCAGGCAGATCACCAGTCTGGACAACGGGGAACTGGGATGGCAGAGCATGCTACAGAGGGCACTGCCACCTGCCCTCGACGTGGCCGAGGACAGCAGTGAATTCAGTACTCGGCAGTATCCCAGAATTTCTTATAGGCACATTCACCTTTACCAGGTCCAGCAGCAGTGTTCATTTCCAAGTCAGTTTTTGTTTCTCTCGAGGTATTTCATTATTCCATTGATATTGTCTCTCCTGCCACCATCTGGGACCGGTAGCTGGGCTTGTGGGTCACAGAGTCTGTGCACTGGCTCTCAGTAACACCATTTCTTCTCTCTCCTCCACTCCTCTAGGACCTTGACCCGGGCAGGCATCCATTTACTCCCCAGAGGGATGTGCCAGCAGCTGCCCAGCCTCCGAGTCCTGTGAGTAACACGTTTCTCTGTCCTGCCTGGTCTTTAGAAAAGTGCAGTCAGAAACCAGGCTTTCTTCTTGTCTAGCAGGGAGGGGACCAGCTGGGGAAGACCATCTTGTTCCCATTATCTTTTCTGTACAGAAAACACCACCTTCTTAGGCACTACCTTGAGCTCTGCATGTTCTTGAACTTGTTTGCTTCATCCCAACACGATGCTCTGGACCCAGGGCTGCAAGCAATAAGGCACATCCACATTTGCCTCCTCTTTGCTCTGCACCAGTGGGAACTGTCTGCCCCGTGCAAGGAAGGCAGAGAGGGTGCAAGGGCAGTGGCTAAGAATGGCAGCAGCATTTCAGAGCTCCTAGCTGCACACAGCACAAAAGCCAGGGGTAAATCACATTCACACAACACCCTGCCCTAACGACGGCTTACTGCAGTTGGAGCTCCAGCAAGTGCCATCACCTGGAAGAAGGATCCCGTTCATATCCTGGGAGGGGACAAGCCTGACCTGATGGATACCTGCAAGGCCACATGGCCATGGCCCCTCATGTGGTGCAGCAGTGGTTTTGCTCAGAGTCTCGAAGTTGCTTTGGCTCTACCTGCTTGGCAAGGCACTGAATGATGCTGAGCGGGGGGGTGTGTTTTTTTCAACTTGGTACATGATGAAATCAGCATCTCAGAAAGACTCCTGCATCTTCTCAGGAGTCACACCCCTCGTTCGTTAGATCCCCAACTTTGTTCGCAGTCGAAGACATCCTCAGGAAATGAGTCATGAGCCAGATTTATACAAGTTTGCAGCCTTAGGGCAAGCAGGAGGCTTGCCTTTCATCAGTCTTTATACAAGCAAGCTGAAAATGAAAACAAGTTTGTTCCAGGAAAGCAACAGGAGTGAATTCTTGATCACAGAAATTGGAAACAAGAGAAAAACATAAAAATAAAAGAACACAATTTGTAACTTAGCAGATCACAGCATTTTGACTCCAGCTGCCCCTGTAGGGAAGATCTCTCATCTTTAGACATCTGGACCAATTCAATGGACCTCTTGCCACCAAAGTGTAGCCTTTGGAATGGCCCAGGCTGTAGGGTCCCAAGTGTTCTGATTACGTTTGCAAGTTATCAGACTGTAAACCTTCACAGCAGAGCCTGTTCTTCATGCCTGCCCCTCCTTGTGGGAGAGTTTTATTGGGACACCCCACCTTGTTCCTTGTTCTTTGTTCCTTGTTCCTCTTTCCCAGCTAATTTTACTGACATTAACTGCATTGCTTTCAGAGTTTGGAGAGAGGGTATGTGGGGCCAATGTTTGTGCATGTTTACATCTCTCTTGCCTTTGAAATATGTTGGCCTTCTGTCCCCGCAGAGCTAGTGGCTGTTCTTGCTGCTTTCCCCCACTTTGCCAGCCCCTTGGCAGTTCATCAGGTTGACGTTACAACTGTGACACATCTGAACACAGATGATACAGTTAACACCGCATTTCTGGCCTCCTACTGCTCACACCACACTGCAGATTTTCTGCAGAGATCTTGCACAGGGGCTGTAAGAGCCACCACAGGGGTGTGAGGCTCGCAGCTGTGCTATGATGCCGGTCTGTGCATGGGCACTCAGCCCAGCACAACCAGGCACGGCAGCCTTGCCAAGCTTGAGCTTGGCATCAACCTGACATCGTCCTGCTGCTTTTGTCCAGAGCTTCTGCTCAGGGCACAGATTTGTCTTTCCTCTCAAGCAGAAGTAGATGAAACTTCCCTGAGCAGACCTAAAGTCCCTTGATGCCACCAGTGCCTTCATCCTGGTGTGTCCACAACACACTGTCAGTGACTGAGGCTGCTCTGCTGGTAGATACTGGGCTGCATCTGGTTACCCTTGCTCTGGAGGAACCAGAAACAACTCCTGGGGCTGTGTTCCCCCTCCATCACTGCCTAGCTAAGCCACCACCCTGTCAAGCCCAGTGGCTTGACACAGGGACCAGGGAAAAGTGACTGATGCACACTCTCTGTACTGGGTGACAGTTTCCAGAGTCAAGCACAAAACTTTTGCTTGCTTTTTCCCTCCCTCCTCCTCCCCACCATGGAAAACTGGTGGAGAGGGGGTTGGCAAAAAAATAAATAATTGAAATGTTTTAGCAGCAACTTATTGGCAGAAAGATGGAAACAGAGTCTGGAAAGTCAGCAGAGAGGCCATATACAAAACTTTACCCTGGGGCAAATTTCCCTTGAACAACCACAAATCCAGCCTCTGCTGGTGGGGGAAAGAGCTGATTTTAAGCATTACTCCTTATCCAGCCCATTTCAGTTTTACTAAATTCACCTTAAGCTGTGCCAGGATAGGACTCTAGGACTTCCAGGACAGGAACTCTACCTTGGACGCTGACATGACACCAGGCCATGAAGCAGTGGGATCAGGAGTCTGCTGGGAATTGCTTTCAAGTGACAGCACTTGAAAGAATGGGGACCAGAGGTTTTCACAGTTTGCAATGTCCTGTACCAAATGTCTGCCAGTGCCACAACCCTTTCCCTAACCCTGGGGAGAAGCCAGGAAAGGCTGGAGACCAGGCAATGGGCAGTGGGGTTTGCTGTGCCAGGAAGGAGGCAAGGCAGCTGGCTGGCTGCTCTGCTGGCCAAAACTGCCCCAGGCTCTGCAAGCACATCTGCAGCTTTTGCGAACTCCCCCGTCCATAACAGCAGGTCAAGAGCTCTGGCACAAATGCCTCCCTGCTTTACCCACAGAAAAGCAAGGCTGTGCATGGCAGAAGCTGGCACAGATGCATTTCACAGCTGACTTGGGGCTGGGGAAGAAAAGCCCACCCCAGCTGTAGAAGCTGCTCTGTCAGTTCACAGCTTGTGCTGGAGGGAGCTGGGCTGGGGCTGAATGAGTAGGTAAACCACGGAGCAATCGTTGCCTTGCACAAAGACACTCAGAGCAAGTGTCAGGTGTGCGCAGAGTGAAGATCCCCCTCGCCTGCGGTTACTGCTCTCTGCAGCTGTGCAAAATGGAAGTCAGGTCATCCCCCTCTCCAGCAATGCCTGCTTTCCAAGGGAGGGCTCAGCAGCACTCACTTTTGATGTCCTAACATTACTGTACCGGTCATTCCCCTGCAGAGAACTGTCACACAACCAAATCGAAGATCTGCCCAGTTTCCACCGGTGTCAGCGGCTGGAGGACCTGTGAGTAAAGAGATGCCCTCACTTGCACCATGCTCTGGGGGAAAAGGGCTGTTTCGGGGAGAGAGGCAAACACAGACACACACAAAACTCAGCCTTCACCAAGCACTGGGAAAGCTGAGCATTATAACTCACTATTTGGACTGCAAATGGACCAGAGCCCCACTCTTTGCCCCTGTGCAAATACAGAATAAAAATACATCCCCTGTGCATAGGAGCTTAATTCACTCAGGTCTTTTCAGAGGTCCCAGCCACAGCAAACAGAAGTAGGATGTGACAGCATCAAATTTTACTTCACTAACATGAGTCCCAGAACGAGCTAATCAAGAATGGGGTTTATGTATACCATAAATGTCTTCTGCTTCAAGGAGGAGTCCTATGCCATGGGCACAAAGCAACTCTTATCCACACTGCTCAGGGCTAGCCCCTCCATAGAGAAGACTGATGCTTTCCTCACATGTAGCACATGAATTGGGTCTCCTCTGGGCCCTGGGAGGCACCTCTTTTGCTCTGAGACAGACTTATTCATGTTCAGTTGAAAGTGTCTGGAGATCTGGCCCTACACTTCAAATCTAATAGAAGTTCTTGGCCTTTTTGAGAAAAAAAAAAAAAATAGACGCCATGATTTTTTTAGACTTCTGCACCTGGAAGAATAGATGTGTGGGAGCAGCATGCCCACAAAAATACACTGGAGAGGTTGTCCCTGCTCTCTGCAGCACCCCAGCCTGGATGGCCAGACCAGTTCATCCCACCTTAGCAAAACCAGACATTAGGACAGTGTGTGAAATCACATGAAAATGAGAGATACATAGTCCTTGCTGCCTCTTTGGGAGCTCTGAGGACAGAGTTAGAGCTGGACATATTTTTATCTAAAGTACCCCCAGGGAAATGTTTGGAAAAATTAGAAAAGACATCAAAAAAAGGACAAACTTTCAGAATTCCAAACCTGTAGTTTCCCACATTGTGCTTAAATTCCTTCTTACAATATTCTATAATATGCCAAATTCAGGTTTAACATTAATATAAAAGCACAGTAAATCCCTCTTTCAGGGTACTTAAGTCAGATTGACTGTGTCTTAAATTAACCTTTTCTTACAAAATGAGTATTTGGTCCCTTAAGCCCAAAGTTCTCATCCTGTAAGCCCCACCCCCACCAGGCATCAGCATTCCT